TATGTTCGGCTGCGGCAAAGATTGCACACCCTGAACCGCGTTGCCGGGTTGATTTCCAGAATTCGCGGTCTCCGGGGGCGGTGGGGGTGGCGGGGGCAGAGATGGTGGGGTAGAAGCGGGGACGGTCTGCTGCTTGCCCGTCAAGCCGAGGCTCTTGCCGATACCGAGCAGATTGTTGATCAAACGTTGATTCTCCGTGTTCGACAGTATGTTGAGTATCTTCTCGTCGCCGGACACGGTGCTCTTACTCTTATCTGCTTCCGCAACCGCTGCTGCCGCAGCCTTCGCCGCGGCGGCCTGCTTTTGCTGCTCGCGCTTCTTGCGCATCTGCTCGCGCCGCTCGAGCAGCTTTTCACGCCACGACGTCCACTTGGCTTCATATTGTTTATACTGAGTCTGAAAAGCACGGGTATTATCCATTGCGAGTGGAAAACAAACGATTGTGCTTTGTTCCTTTCGCGATATATATCCGTCTGATATTGCAGTCTCAGCGGTTCGAACCGTCCGAGTGTATGTAGCTTCAAGCTCAAGAAAGAGATCTGTACACAGACCGGTATATAAGAATTTACTAAAGGTCAAGGGTCACTAGAATTTTTGGATCATATCTACATATGTATCGAAGCAGATATGTATATATCTACATATGTAATGGATCGTGTCACTACGTTCGTACGTCACAATTGTTGACTATTCAAGGCAATAGCAACTATATCTCACGTGTTACTTTTTCTTTTATATGTGACTTTTAGATTGAATTTTCGGCTTCGGATTCCGGATTGGAACCGCGTGTTTGTTTCCAACGTTTCGTGAACATGGGAAGGTCACGAGGTAGTACCCACCGATTTTCATAATATTGTTTACATAAATAAACCTTATGAACCTTTATTGAGCAAAAGGAGAAACGCAACACTCAAGCATTTTCGAGAAAATCAAAATTAAAAAATCACGAGCTACGTATAAGTTTAGCGGAACCTTTGAATGAATATTCTTCAAATCAAAATGCAATGTTTACATAAAATAATTACACGAAGGTAAATTAAAAAGTTTCCAGAATAACAATGAAAATGAAATAAATCTAATTCAAGTTATATTTTATTTTTCAACGTAATCCTCTCGAAGCTCAACACTCTTGGTCCAACGTTTTTCCAGCTTCCCGATTCCTTCCCGAAAGTTTCTTTCAGGTCTCCAAAATAATCGTTTACAGCGTCGATCAGCTTTTCATTTGACCAAAATATCCTTCCACCCAGGAATGTTTTGAGTTTCAGGAATAGAAAGGAAACCAAATCAGGCGAATATGGTGAGTGCGGAAGGACTTTAAACTTCAATTCTGTCAATTTTGCTGAGCGATTATACTTGAATGAGCGCGTGTTGCTATGATGAAACACTTTTTTCTTGAACACTTTTTTTTTCATTTTCGGACATTTCTCTTGAATTGCTGCATTCAGTTTGTCCAAAAGTGTTGTGTAGTATTGACCAGTAACAATTTTTCCTTTTTCAAAATGATCAATTAGCAAAATTCCACTTCAAAAGACCGATGCTATTATTTTGTCAGTTGATTTAATAGTTTTTACCTTCTCGGGAACCGATTCACCGTGTTTAGCCCACTGTTTTGATTGCATTTTTGTTTCTGGTGTACAGTAGCAAATCCAGGCATCATCCATGGTCACGAATCGTTTCTTGAAATCCGATGGATTCCTCTTAAACATTTCCAAACAATTGGCTAAAGCTTGAATGCGTTTTTGATCCGGATTGAGCAAATGCGGCATCCATTTTGTAGAAAGTTTTTTTAAACCTAATTTACTATGTAAAATATGAACTACTTGTTCATAAGATATGCCCACAATCCTCAATTTCACGCACTTTTATTTGGCGATCTGCTAAAACCATGTCGTGGATTTTATCCATAATTTCTGGCAGCCATTTTTGGACGTTCTGAACGTAGTTCGTTGCTTGTGTGCACGCGGCCACGCTTGAATTCCGAAATCCAAAAATTCACGGTGGAAAATGGAGGTGATGAATCCCCTCCAAAAACAACATCTAACCTCGATTTAATTTCTGTTGCGGTTTTTTCCTATAAATGGAAAAATTTGATGACCGCTTGAATTTCGTTTTTATCCATAACTGAAAAAACATAAAGTTGTTTGACTTGAATGCTTGTCAAAACCAGACTATTTAACAGATCGATTTGACGTTTGCAGTCAATACATCTGAAAGAGTTACCAACACGACATAAAAATAGTTGGAGAAAAGCAACTCCCTAGCGACGATTCCGGAAACATTTCAATCTATTCACGTAAATCACATGGATTTCTATATTTTATTCATTTATGTTTTATTAAAAATATGCAAATTAAATTATTCGGGCTCAATGAAATTAAGGAAAACAATCAGGCCATGGTAAGCCATGGTAATCCAGGCACTGATCAAATTTTTTTCTTTTTCTCTTTCATCTTGGAAATTCGTTTTCGAAAAATTGTTGTCTATTAAAAATAAATTTAATTAAAAATTTTTATATTTGGAAATATAAAAATATGAATAATTTGAAGCAGATTGAAATAACGTATTAGTCTTCTCTTTCTAACGTTTCTCTAACGTTACACTCTCGAACGTTATTTTAAACTGCTCAAAAAGTCAAATTATTCATAATATTTTTATATTCCCACGTATAAGTCTTGAAATAACTTTATTTTTAATAGATAACAATTCCGAAAACGAATTTCAAAGGGGAAAAAAAGGGAATGTACATTTTTAATAGAAAATAGATAGACAAAATATATAAAACCTATGTGATTTACAATTATTTTATGTAAGAATTATATTCTGATTTGAAAAAAGTTCACTCATAGAGATTCGAACCAACGATTATGCACTTATGAGTCAGACACACGCTAACCACGCCGAATCATACTGTCTTTAAAGAATGCTTCGTTCCGCTAAATTGACTCATACATCGTTCGGGATTTTTTAACTTTGACTTTCCCGGAAATGCTTGAGAACTGCATTTTCTCCCTTTGCTCAATAAGGTTCATATCGAAATCCACATAAACAATATTATCAAAATTAGTGGGTAATCAGGGAGAGGAACACAATTTGATAAATAAGGGAATATAATTATAATAAGGGAAGGAAAGGAGCGATAATAAATTCAGGGAAAATTATAAAAGGATTTTAATATTCACATTAAAAAAATATTTCCTTGTGTTCATCCTTTGGCATTCTATCCTTTCGATTTCTTTAAAACCTGATTGATTGATTGGTTAAAACCTGATCAATTTGGTTAATTATTATTCATTTGTAAAGGAATTCCTATTGAAGCGACTCGGTATCACATTGTTCTTCTTCCCGATGAAGTGAATTGAAATATTTACAAGAAACGGAAATAAATCCACCAAAAAACACGGCTACAATTCGACAGTCAAATCCACCATTTCCCCACAGTGCGAGTCTCAAATACATAATTTTATGTTTCACATTACAAACGTGACTTTGAAAAACCAAGTTTAAGACATCGTTGCTGTTATCTCGAATGATCAACAGTTATGATGCAAGAATATATAAAAACGATGTTAAGCGTGTGATCGAACAATTTTAGCGACCTTAAACCTAACAAGTTTTAAGACTATTATGCCGGTTTGTGTGCAACTTAAAAGCACTTACTTTGTCGGGATGATTTGCGTTCTGCTGCTTCCACTTGTTAAATTGCTCTTCCCACTGTTTGAACTGCGCGTCGAACGTTTTCTCGGCATCAGTTAGCTCTTCGTCCTCGTCAAGCTTCAATTTTTTCGCACTACTGCCACTATTGGACTCACTACCAGCACCGATCGCGCTAACATTACTATCGCGTTTCTCGGCCTGTCCGACTGTTCCTCCTGGCAGCTCTCCTCGTTTGTTCTCGATTTCAGACGGCAAAGGTGGCAGCTGCTGTTGTTGCTGGCTCATATCGGGTAGGGGTGGCGGCTGTTGGTGATTCGGAGGAGGGTAGTTAGTCGCGCTCGCTGGCGGCAATACACTCGTTGTAGCGGATTCTTTCGCGGGAAATAAGGGCAGATTGTTTTGGTGTGGGGGTGGCATGTTGGTAAACTGTTGATGTACGATACTCGCGGTAGTGGGTGGTAATGGAGGTCGTGCTATGTCCTCTTTGGGGAGGGGCGGTGGTGGTTGCACTTGGCTCGCAACCAAATTTACGTTCTGCACCGCTGACATATGATGTTTCATCGTCTCTTGATACTGAAAAAAGAAATCATCCGGTAGAAATCGACGTGTTTGACAGACGAAAACCGTCTCATGCACAAATCATTCAAGTGGATTTGAAAACAAAATATACGCTTTATTTCGTAATAATTTTCAGCAATTATTGCTATTAGTTATACAGTAGGCTTTTTCGTCTGGGAAATTCATAGTCGTCTTTCTAAGCAGAGACCTATTCTCTCGGTTTGATTTGTTTTTTCTTTCTTTTTTAACAAAAGATCAGCAACAATCCAGTATTAACTGAATGTTCATCGGATGTTCACAATTTGAAAACACATATTAATAATCCTATTATTTTTCTTCAAACATGTTTGTATTCGACTGATTAAATATAAAAATAATCAACAAGCCTGAAATCATAGAGCCTGAAAATCGTACATATTATATGTATCATACCTTATCGCCGTATTGTGCTTGCCATTGCTGATATTGTTGTTGCCACTGCTGCCACTGAGCCCAACTTTGTTGTTGTGCAGCTGCCCATTGCTCCGGTGTATATCCACTAGGCGCCTAATAAAAATAAAATAGTAGATTATGTTTGTTATAATATATTTGTTATGATTATACTTGTTCTCTGAAGAATAGTGTATGTTTCCTAAAATTTGGTATTTACCTTTTTCGACACCACGTATAAAAATTAAATAAAATTACATAATTGCATAAAAATTACAACAAAGCAATTGTTGCCTCCATAATTAATTGATTAATGATAAAATTCTACTCAATTAATGTTCATAAAATTGATAAGACCATCGCGAATTATATGTGATTTGTTTAGCTCTACGCACTCGCATTTAGTTTATTTACACGCGGATAAGTTTCCATCTGCTAAGTAAAGTAATATAATTAATAATGCCAATATATATGCAGAGTGTACGAAAAGTGCCGGAACTTAGTATTTTGGAAAATAAACATTTTCGAAGAAAATGTTCTATACAAAAGTTATAGAGTTTTAAATGGCGCATTAAATAATAATATTAATATAACCTTGGATAGCGTTATTAAAGTAATGTAAAAATCATTTGGAAATTTTTAAATGGAAACTTCCTATTTTTGATTACATATTGTTGTACATAGTGTAGTTGACCTCGAGAGTTTCAAAATACTGTAACAAAGTGATTTTTCATAAAGCATTTTTCGAGTTATCAGATTTAATAGTTACAATTCCGCCGGTATTAGTTTTAACCCCAAGTATACCGCATGGAGGTTACTCGGTAAAATTTATACCTCTTTTGTGTGTGTGTGTGTCAGCAGAGAGGTGTCAAAAGAGATGTAAATTCCGATCGAATAATTTCCACGCGGTATACCTTAATAATGCTAACGCCGGCGGTACTGTAACTTTCATACATATGTGAAAACATGTGTGAAAATGCATCTTTTTATCTTCCATCTTCATAACTCAATAACAAAGCAGATCCAACCTATCTCAACTAAACATTAATAATACATTGAAATGTCACTTATCAAACAATATATAGATATATTTTCAATTACTTTAACAGCTTATGCAACACTCATAGAAGCATCAATTGAAACTCATAGGAATTTCTTGGACAATCTAATATATAGTAGGCAAATATCAATGGCTGTTGTTGACTAGTCTGCAAGTCCAATAAGCACTTGTTGGGTAAATCTCATCAATAAGTTGGAATCGGTCCTTAAAATATTACAAATTGTCACCTCTGAAAGTACGTATCACAGTAAGAAATTTTTAGATAAAAGTTGTTTGATTCGCAGAGGTAAAAAAGGTATAGATATTAGTTTGACCTTGGATGATGTGACAAAGTCATATGGAAGTCATCGTGAATTTTTTTAAAGCGAAATCATATGGTTTCTTTTACACAAATCGATTTCTCTGCGTATAAAAATACTAGGGTAAGATCATCAAAAAGTGAATATTTTTTAGATATTTTACCTTTTATCCGGATACTTTTTAGTACAAAATATGAAGTATCTCGTAAAATATTGGTTTTTTGATAACCTCATTTTAATACTTTTGTACGTAAAAGAATGGGAGAAATGGTTTAATGATATTAATCATTATACGTTGGTGCATCAATGCATTTGGAAAATGCAACGATTTTCTTTTATTTCTCTCGATTTCTTTAAATTTTTTGCAGCAATTAATTAAATCCCTGTCATTCTACATAAAAAAGTTTCAAGGTAAGATTATCGAAAAGTAAAAAATTTACGAAAAAGATATCTCATATATTATATACTAAAAGTATCAGAATAAATTATAAAAAATACTAGGATAAATTGTAAAATATCTTAGAAAGTATTCATTGATCTTATCTTAATACATTTATGCAAAATGACTACGAGAATCGATAACATTACAAAATCTGTATGATTTCATTGAAAAAGTACATAATGACTTTAGTGACTCTAGCATATCCATTCAACGTCAAATTAAATGGCGTTATAGCCTGTATTACATTACGGATTAGAATTGAGATTAAATTGAAATTTGACCAATCAGAGCAAAGTTCACTAAATTCAAGTTTAACATTAAACTTGAATTTAGTGAATTTTGTTCTAATTCGCCAACTTTCAACTCAATCTCAGTCCTAAATCCGTAATCTGTATATGAGTTGATCTCTTTTCCTTCTTCAAACAAGATAACTTTTATTTAAAACTTTTTACTATGATTTGTTATGACAAATGTTTTGCTATGATACGTACTTTCAGACAAAACAGCTTGCAACACTTTAAATGGACCACCCTATGTAAAACAATATATATAAAATTACATACTTACTGGTTGATTGTAATATTGCATATAGCTTTGCTCCAGGGCCGTGGGGTCCGCGGGTGGTACTGCTGCTGTCGCTGCTGCAGCGTAGCCAACTGGCGGTTGGGGTATTGGAGTCGTGACAGCACCGGCTGGCAACTGCCATTGGTTCCAATTTTGCATTTCGCAAATCCTCCGGCGGGCTAACAAGCGCTAGCCTCTTAAAGGCTGCAGTCCGTTCGGACGCTATTTTGCGTGTTCAGAGAAAATTTACATACGCTATTACAGAAGATCGCAGGCAACATGTGTAGCGCGACGGAGATCCATGATACGACTAATTTGTTTAACACTCATTTCAAGGGAATGCAATGTATAGCAAGGACTGATCACGGCGTTAGACTTCGTTCACGAAAGGGTTCTCTTTTAAGGGACGTATGCTCGGCATCTGCAGTCGCGTATTGCAGCGAGTCAAGACGAATTTGTTAACAAAATCTTTGCATCGCTTCGACGCGTTCGGTCGAATTACGCTTGCAAATGTTAACGACGAATAAAAAAGCGCCGAGATACACGCTGAAGATTCATAGTGGAATCATATCGTTGCTGTATCGTAAAAATGAATGTAAACGTGTACTTAATATATGTGTGTACACACATGTATAGATTTTATCACATTCATATAGATCTATATGTATGCGCGCGCAAAATATCATACATATCATATAATTTAGATTGTAACACATATGAGTAAAATCATGCAATTTAAATTTGTGAACAATTTGCGACGATAAATATTTGTAATATTTGCGGTCATGTAATCAATAAGAAATAAATCACACATATAAGTGGTGGTAATTATTCATAAAGACTTACATCCTGCAGATAATTTTGAGATATACTATAGAGGATGAAGTCCTGAGTATCCCACATCGTGTGTGGCCCCTTCCAGTCGCCGAGATACATCGTTGTAAAATATCGAAATTCCCACATTTAACTTAACCCAACCTTAGTCAGATTGAGTTAAATCAGGTGTAAAAGTTACCTACAGAGAGCGATGTATCTCTCAGCAAACAGGAGTGACTCAGAGTGCAGATTACTCAGTAGATTCCAGCTTCTGTAATATACTCAAGATTAAGCGTATCTGCGAGTCGACTCTTCATAAATGCATCATTCAAACAGTGTGCAAATGAATATAGAGTGATTTTGGTCATTCGAGCGGGGAATACTCCTCTCACGATTGGCGGTGGGAGACAGTGACCACGGCGTTCATTCGCGAATTTTGTCACCGTATTTTCATCACCAATCGCCAATCGCAAGATACGTTCTCTTTAATTCAAGTTCGTCGGAATCGCTCCGTATATATTAATACTCCGTGTACATATCGCTCGATTTGCGTTACATACACTACAGATGTATACGCTGCGCGTGCACAGTGGGGTGGAAAAGAGTGCGGCGTATATCTCTCTCGAGCTCTGCTGGCTCGGCTGTAAATGTGAACTCGAACGAGGGGCGAAAGATTGTTCCGACAGCTTGAATAATTTAGCGCGTTCGTATATTCTATAGATGCAGTCGAACGCTTCGAGTAAACAATAGGTGGCCGACATCTCTCTCAAATATCGTCGCATGAGCAGTTTGCGGTGTCCGCAGATTTGTTTGTACTTACGACTTACTCTCGCTATGCGAACAAATGAGCCAGATGAGAGCGTCGTCGATGTCAAATTAACGCAGCACAAATCGGCCGATTTCAACGATTAACAATGCGTCAATATAGTGGGTAAAAAAATTTATACGTATACCGTAGACTAGGCATCGTGTATGCCTCGGCAATCGTTAACTAGGATTCTCTGCAATTTTCATCCTTACACAGATGCATCCACATACATATGCAATATGTAAGGTTGGAAATTGCACACCAAACGTCATGTATGCCTTAACACTTTATTTCTTACAATATTCAATCTTATTACGATATATACGGTGTAAGATTGAATATTGTACGAATGATCATACAGTTATAATATTAAAGCATACGTGACACCTGATATATGATCAGCTCTAGTTACAATATAATGGCATACACGATGCCTGGTGTACCTTGGTTTAATTGTATACAATGAAGAATATTGCTACACAGAGAATATATTTTATCCAATATCATGTATTAACAAATATACCGATACACCATAATAAATAAAGATATAATGTGTTTTAATAGAAGTAGCCAGCAGCAATATTTTACTTCTTTGTATAAAATTACTTTAAAGAGAGATGAACATACGAATGCTATTTCTTTCACTTATTTTAAATAAAAGGACTCTATGAGTGTGTATATCAATAGGTCCACCACCGTTTTTCCATTTGAAATCGTTTTTCTCGAGAAAATCAAACAAATGATCGTAGTGATCATGAAAAACGCATTGTAAATTTTATACCTGTTTCCTCGTGCCTTGTCCTGTCTCGGTGTCGGTTGTACCGCAATTTACCGAACATCCTATGGACAGAAATTCAACGATTAATGTCTCGTAATCGTATGTAAAATAATTTCAAGGAAATTTCCTTGACACACCTGACTTCTCGATTTTATCGATCTGAATGCGATTATAAGTAAATGACCTTTTCTTTCTCTCTCGTTACTATGTCGAGCATTATGGAGACGTACTTATTAGAGCGAGATAAAATTATGATGAAGTACGAAGATATACTTATTGATTTGTCATTTGAACGTACGGGTTCAATATATGAACGAAAGAACATGGCAAGATTGAATTTTGCCAAATTAAGATTTCTTTTCAATGCCAACTCTGTACAACTCTTTACTAATTCTGCAATTTTTCACAAAGTAGAGACTGTATTGAAAATATAAGAAGTACCTTAACTTAACATCTCCGAAAAATGCAAATTACGTTCTACATTAAATGGAGAACTTGGTAACGTGCGCAATCTTCCTTTTTCTTTTAATTACGAATCCCGATCCATCAATTCGCCACTTACAGTCTAAGTGCATTTTTCTCCACCGAGACAATGTCGGGAATCATTGAGGCAGTAACAGAATATTGCGACAGAAGTGCGAAACATAAAAAAAAATAACGAATTTTCGTGACACCTTGTATAAGCACGGACGGTATCGGCCGCCATAAACGGCATGTCGCTGCTCTGTTGAAGAATAAACCCGCCTGTTCTTTTGGTTCCGAAAAACGTATGACTAACGTAGCTCCCCACTCGCGAAAAGTGACGAGAATGTGTTACTTACGACTGAACGAATATCCGGAGCACCTCTAGTCGGTCACACAATTATACAACGAGAACGGAATACTACCCGAAATTACACATTACACGCGAGTGGAACGATGCCAGTGTTGATGAACGCGAACGAAAGCTAACTAAATGCGAAAGACACGCGATAACCAGTGTTGCCATATACCAGAAAAGCAAGTATACTCACGTGTTCATTGATTCGTCCCGATACACACGTTCATTGATTCGTCCCGAACTAGATTTAGTGGGTCGAGCTTATACGTTGGCTATCCTGTTCTATCCAACAGAATCATGACATAGGAACGACGTTATTCAGCGAAAATGCAGCGCAAAGCACAAAGTGCTTACTTGGCTGTCTTTTCCCTGTTAATAACTGGTATTAATACGTATATTTTAAAATATAGCTCCTATGCATGGACCTAAAGTCTACAATAGAGTTTTAAGCCTTAAGCCTTCAGAAATTGACCAATCATAGTTAATTATTCTCTTCACATTCGATTGGTGATTGGTCAATTTCTTAAGGCTTAAAGCTTAAAGCACCTATTGTAGACCGGGATAAAAGCGGATCAAGGAAAATAATTGACTGTGATTGGTCGATTTATTGCAATTGCAAGACTAATGTAGAACCAGCTTTATGGAAAAGTTAGATCGCTTTAAGAGTTTAATATATCTTTTCGTGCGTA